AAGTATCCGTACTGCATGATGAAAGCAGTGGATAGTTGCTTGAAGCTATCGATCGATCCTTCTTCTAGTTGAGTAAACCAGGTCAAAGCCGGCCCGGATAGGTTCTCGGCGAAGAGCTTGCATAAGCCTGCGTCTACTTCGTTTGGCTCCAAATGTACCCGACCTACGGTCACCTGAAAAGACGCTAAAAATTCTTTGGGATCTCCCTTACCATCGTACCCAGGAAGCTTGACCTTCCTTTGGTCTCGAATTCGCAGGGCTACAATTCGTGGAGTAAAAGGAGTCCTTCTCGTCTCCTCGATCACTCTATCGACTTCGGGAGCCGAACTGGTGGCTTGATGAACCCTCGAACTCATTTCCCGAATCTGATTTTGTAAGCTCTGGATTTCCGGGTTGACCGGAAGGTGAGGTGGATGGGACTCGGTTTGAGGATGATGCGGGGTGCTGCCAAGATGAATGGGGAGAGGTGTTCTGGCTGGAACAAAAGGACCGCCGGCCGAATTTGGAGGTGCTTGAGCATGACGGGATCCATCTCCAGGTTCACTCTGAGAGCCAAGAGGCAAAGAAGATGGGAGTACGTTGTTCGGGGAAACGAGTCTAGGATCCTGAACCTCCGAAACGTTTGGACCATGAAAGTCCAAATGGCCGCGAGGTCCGCTGGTCCGCAAAGTTCCTGCAAGAATTGTATCAACCCGATCCGCATAAGCATTATGGGCTGACCTGATTTCGGAAAAACTCGCTGTGAGGACTGCGATTTGGCTGCCGCTTTGCTCTTCAGACGCTGAAAGCTTCTCAGACAACGCAGTGGTGGCGAGCTGCTGCTGGTCGGTCTTCTCGGACAGATCTTTAAGCAACTTCTTGATCTCGTCGAGGACTGAAGCCGGATCCGCTATGTCTGACATCTTTCCGATTGATATTCTGGAGTAAAAGACTAGAAATCCCCTCCTTCTAGCGCCAAATTGTGGATGTCGGAATCCGCAATACAAATTTTATGATGTGTATCGGATCGTCTAGCCTTGCTAATTCGAACAGCAATCGTGAGAAGAAAACAAGAGAGTAAAGTGTGTGTATTTGTTTATTGCTCAAGAAAAATCCCCCCCATTACAATGGTTTTCGTTTCCTATTTATAATTACAAGATTTGAAACCGAAGTCGCTCGTCAAGCCGCAGATCTCGCCCTCATTATTGCTTCCGTTTCGAATCTTCCCGATCTAGCAGATCCCGTGCAACCTGCCTTTCATTTAACTCGTGGGATCCCGACGTTTTACTCGAACTGGGCTTGAACTTATTGGGCCGCTCTTTTCGTCCCCTGGACCGGGCCGACGGCCCACTTCGTCTTATTGATTCACTATCTTTCCGGGCCGGATCCGAACTGCGGGATCCGACACCAACAGTAAGGGTGTTTTATTTTAAGTGGAGACTCGACACATTCTTTGTGATACATTTGATTACAATAATCACAGAAATAATAATCAGTACCAAAATATGAGCCATCGCATGCACTACATCCACCATTGACATCAAATTCTTTATTGTTGCACCAAAACAAAGGGAGTACTGAATGATCATCAGCGTCATATAAAAAAACGATGTAACTTATCATAGAACCGAATGGGAGATTGGTAATTGAAGAAAGGTTTATGGTAAGTGGAAAGTCTTTTTTCCATTGTGTTCTAGGACATAAGAAAAAAGGTTGAAGAAGGGTATCATCGCTACTGGCTGTTTCACCGGCAGAGGTTGGACTTCGAGTTTGTGGTATGGGATGGCGATATACCAAGGATAATTTACCATCTTTCTCCATCATATGAAATATTCCACAATCATTATCCATGGTAGCTCCCGGTCTTTCTTTATTGTATCTCTGTTAAGGTCTTTTAAAAGTGTTGTTATACAAAAATCAAATGTTTAACAATCCAATACATATGAAAATGATTTGATTCTTATATAATGTGAAAACGAAGTGAGCTTTGTTCTTTTCTTTGTAGTTTTCATAATGTTCTTTCCATGCAAATAAAGAATCAACTTTTCTTTGCCTATGGTTTTCGTCTCGTATGAAAAAGTCCTGCTATGCAAGATAGTTGATTAATGGATGATTAACGTGTAAACGAACGTCGATTTTTGCTTTCCACGTACATAAAGAATCCAACTTTTCTTCCCATATAGCTTTCGTCATTTCGGATTAATCACATACCCACTTCAAGGCATCTCTACCGTCGAATTTGGATCTCCCCGTGGTCTCCCACGATTTGGCTCTGAATATTATCTTGCAAAGCACAATCATATGGTAAGGAGCAGCGAGACGGTGGAAATGTGCCTTTTAGATGGCTCAGGATTATTTGGTTGTTTGGTTCGTTTAATGTTGTCCAGAGTTTAACTCGGTCACCAAAATGTTTAAAACATGTATCAGCCAAGTACATGAAATCTTTCCTTCAAAATTCGAAAGATGAAATTAGAGATTATTTTGATTGGTCTGATTTTATTTAAAATTCTACAGATTCTATTTGACCACTCAGTGCATCTCGGGGCTCAGCCAACTTTGAAACCGGTTTTCGAGTTCTTGAGGATAGTCCAAATGGTTCACCGTCACAAATGGTTTGATCCCTGGATACATTTACCATCTAGTTAAATCTTCAGAAAATATTAGTTTTGATGATTAGTTCAAATAAAAATATTAATTACGAGTAAGAATAGTTAAAGACAAACATTTTTACCTCTACTAATGAGAGCGTCGATTAATCTGTTGTAATACGTTATTCCTGAATAATTAATACTTCCAAATCTTCCTCCTGTCTCCCAAGAAAACAAACCTTTTAACTGAATAACCGATTTCCAAACCAATTGATTAATGGTAGAAGGTAGATTACTTTTGAAAATATGTACAGTACTAAGTAGCCAAAACTTACTCTTTTTAGAAACAATTTCACAAACGAAATATCAAAAATCGTAAATAAATTGGTTCATTTACCCTTTTTTATTATTATTTTTGAGACCTAATGAATTCCTCTTGCACGAAATTGGTTCATTTATCATGTGTATTTAGTATTTACTATTATTTCGCAAATATCATGCTATTTTATATGATATATCATGTTATCTTTTAAAATCACAAAAAATGCATCATTTATTTATGGTCTTTGCCTTACTTTTTTTTTTTCTTTTTTGCTAATTTTCTAGCAAATTTAGTTATCTGGCAAATTAACTTGTTTTTTTTAACCGGTACGAATATATTTATAACGAAATTAGTAATAATCAAGTCATCATGATATTTAAAAAAAAAAAAACATCTTACTTGGTAAGACTCTAGACCAAGAAATTGAAAATCTGTAACTGTTGACCCCAAGCGAAGTCATTAATTGGATGTCCTCCTGTAACCATTAGTAGACACAATAAAATTAATCACATTTCCTAAGTAGAAAAAAAAAACACAAAATTATTATTAGAAAGTTATTTGACCATAAATCGATGGTATTGATCCACAGCCATGTCTCCATTGTTCTCATCACGTATTTTGCCTGTATATTTTGCAATTAAATTTTTTATTAAGTAACTAATTGTTATAATATTCATACAGATATAGATTAACACGTATATATTAGCAGCTACTACTATGTCAACAACATACATGACGACTAGTTGTCCTGATGACCTGACATATATATTAAACCTTAAACCTGTATTGGTAATGGGATTGACGAAGCTAATCCAAACACCAGAACAAAGTAGTTTGGATTAGTTGTAATTTTACATTTGTTCATGATTTTCTCCTAACTCAACAATCTTAACCGAAACTAAACCGAATCAAACTAGAAATCAATACATACCAGGATATTCATGCGTAAATATGTCCCAATTGTTCAAACCTTTTCCTTCGGTCAAGAAAGCACCTTCATACTATTTACATCAAATAATATACCAAATAAGAAAAGCAAGAACAAGCATTAACATAAACTGAAATTCGAATTTGACTCCAAAATCTGTGTTCTTTTTTTTTTTTAAGTAGAGGAACAAAAGAAGAATTACCTGGTACGCAGAAGAAGCAGTGCCAAAGAGAAAATCAGAAGGAAATGGAAATGAATCTCCTAAAATGTTCTCTGAAGAACTTTGATTAATACATTAAACATTAAGCTTTGTAATAAAATGGCCAATAGGAAAATCGATAAGTTTCCCATTTTGTCTGCCTCTCTCGTGTTTGAGTTTGCCTTCTAACTTTTGGTGTTGTCTTCTGTGTCTATATGCACTTTATATATTAGCAAAATAATTAATTAAACTAAATCCTACCAATTCAAAATTCTATATTTTCTTTTAGGTAACATCTTTTTTTTATTAAGGATTTAGTTTTAGCTAGTTAGTGATTTTGATGATTTAGATATTAGTTTGTAATTAATTTTGATGGTTTTGACTTTTAAATATTTTTCTTATTTTGCGACCTTATAAAATAGGTTCAAGTTCAACCCCCGGCCCATATTAAAATAACTGTAAACCATGTATAAACAATAAATAAATGCATACCATAGGAATTGCTCAACCACTCGGCTTTTTTCTGGCAAAATATATTGAGTAGAATACTATCACCTATACATGTAACGTAAAAAATGAGTTTTAATGTTCATTATATTCAGTAACAGTCGATATCAATACGACTAGCGATGGTGACCGCAACAACGATTTAGTCACTGCAAATATAAGTTGACATTTGTCTTTGAAATTTGCAAAACAAACATAATTTCAGTAGGTGAACCTTCCATCTTTTTAGTCAATCGCATTATTCTTAACAAAACTCTACAAAATATATAAGAGGGAAGTCATGACAGAGTTTGTTGATTAAAATGATTATCGGCCTCAGCATGAGAAACTGAAACAATTCATCAATTAACTAGGCAATGTACCTTTCTATTTATATTCTTGATTGCGAACAACAATTATTTCCATAAAACAATTTAAATAGATGTGTACCCGAATTTTCTTGTACACTGATTTTTGTAATAAAACTGTTGTGCAAGATTAGCAAACCAATTATTTACTTATACCATACACAATACACATCCAAACAAAAAAATGAGAAGCTTTTTAACTAAGCCTTCCTAATTTTGACTTCCTTTGATTGTAAACACTAATTCATTATTAGTTTATCTACATATTATTTTTCCCTGTTATCTCCTATATTACCGTGCTGTTCAATGAAGTTCTTGTACCATGAAGCTGATTGCTTTGGTGTCCTTTTCAGAGTTGTATAATCAACATGGAATAAACCAAATCGAAGCTTGTATCCGTACAACCATTCGAAATTATCTAATAGTGACCATGCGAAATATCCCTTCACATTTGCTCCATCCCTACAACAAAGTTCACACTAATTAATTATATCTTAGATTCAATGTCTCTTTTTTTTTTGAGCAAAAGATTCAATGTCTCTATGTCTTTAAATTCAATGAATATATATGAATTGGTTTATCAACTAATTAAATATACAATTCACATACCTCATTGCTTCTTTCAAAGCATCCAAATATCCACTCATGTATTGTATCCTTTTTGTATCATCCAGAAGTTCTTTAACCGTCGTCTCGGGTTTTTGCAAGGTTCCGAAACCTACAAACCATTGATAATTATTGTTCAAATACATTTTTTAAAAATATATGTAAATAACCCAAAAGCTTGAGGTAATTGTACCATTTTCTGTGATGAACATTGGCATGTTGTGGTACCTATTTTTAAGGTAATTTAACATCTTCTTGAAACCGTCAGGATCAATATGCTGCCAATTGACGTCAGTCTATCATGTACAAAAAACCAAGCATTTCAAAAATAATGTTAGAAAACACAATAATGTACTGGAGAGTCCAACAAAAACTTCAGAAAATATATATACACAAATGGACTTACAAGTTCACCGATTGAAACATTGCCTTTCCGGTCTAATTTGAGGGCGAATCCTTCGCTTTTAGAAGCTCCATTTCCAGATCCAGAATTACAAGCAGTGATCAAACAATCTTGGATGAAGTAACTTGTGTAGTGATTAATACCCAAGAAGTCTGATTTGTAATTCTTTATGCTATTCATTTCATTACTCGAAAATCTCGGCAAAGCTGAGCCAAGTATATTTACCATTTCTTCCGGATACTTCCCATATACAACGGGATCTAGAATCCTGATATTTAGTACACATTAGACAAGAAAACATGAATATGTGAATTATACAAACTCATATATGATGAATATTTGGGTCTGACTTGTTATAATATAACATACCAATTTGAATAAAATGATTGAGCTCTCTCGGCAGCATTTTTATCCACAATCGAATCACTTATGGGTTCAAACCATGATGTTTGTACCACAATGCCAATGATTCCCCTTTGTTCCTTCTACAAAAAAATTGTAATATATCAATATAATACGTACAAATATATATATAGTTAAAATCATATAGCTAGATAGTATATTGGTTATTGTTACTTGATATTTGGTTCGGTATATTTGAATCGCCTTTGCATGTGCGAGGATCATATTATGAGCGGCTATAAACGGCTCAGTTTCCGAGTTCCCCTGAGTACAATTTCCGTATGGCATGGAGCACCGGGATGGTGGAAATAAACCACTTCGGTAGGCTAAGATTATTTGTTGGTTTGGTTCGTTAATCGTGATCCAGTGTTTAACTCGGTCTCCAAAATGTTTAAAACATATATCAGCTAAGTACGCGAAATCTTTCCTGAATTAAAAACACTTAAGGAATTAGTTTTAGTTATGGTAAAATAGTTAGAGACTTAGGAGGGGTTATTGGTTCATAGATTTATATGGAATTAGAAATCCAAACAAAAATCATTTGTTATTCAATCATTGATTTTAAAATCCTAATTAAATTCATGTGTTATTGGTTCTATGATTTATAAATACTAGTTAAAATCTTATGTTATTCGTTTAGTCATTTGTTTTTAGATTTGAGAATCCAAATTATGTTTTAAATGGAATTGAATGGAATTGAAAGAGAAAAATAGAAGGATTCAAATCCATGGGTAAACACATGTTATTTCAAAATCCATATATCTTGATTTCATAATTAATAGAAATTTTCAAATTCTATATGAATTTACAAATTAACAAACTAATAACACCCCCTTAATTTATAAACTCACTGCATCTCGGAGCTTAACCAACTTTTGAACCGGTTCTCGAGTTCTTGAGGATAGTCGAAATGGTTCAACGTCACAAATGGTGTAATCCCTGTAAACATGTACATGAAACATAGTAATTTTTGAAGTTAAATCTCTGTATATATTTAATGCTTCATTAGATACTAAACTAAAAATTAAGAAGAAGGGAGAGTAAATATTACCTTTTCTAATGAGAGCGTCGATCAAATTGTTGTAATACTTTATTCCCTTATAATTAATACCTCCAAATCTTCCATCTGTATTTTCCCAAATGCAAAGGTATTTTAATTTCAACCAAAAGAAAAGATACACATTTTAAAGTTTAAACATTTTGTTTCCGGTTTAGATATCTGAACCAATCGATTGATGGTAGAAGTTTAAATTTAACCGAATTTAATTATTACAATCATGATTAAGAAAATAAAGACTTACTAGGTAAGACTCTAGACCAGGAAATTGATAATCTGTAACTGTTGACTCCAAGAAAAGACATTGATTGGATATCTTCCTGTAATCACATATAGTAGATAGATGTCAATAAAATAAAGAAGAAGAAAACATATAAAGTGGATAATTTATCCATTAAATAAATATATATTAGAAAAAGGTACAAAATATTATAATGAAAATTTTTTAACCATATATCGATGATATTGATCCGTAGCTATGTCTCCATTGCTCCCATCAACTATTTTCCCTGCATTTTTAATAAAATATTGTCAATGGAATCAACATGGCATTTATAAGATGAAAACTTTTTCGAGAACCAATCAAAGAAAGCTAAATTGTAATTTAATTTAAATATGATATGCATGGATATATAAATGACTACAAACTTAATTTGAACCCAGAACTAAACCACAAGACTCATTCAAAACATAAAAATTGTTTAGCTTATTATCTAAACCAAAACAAAATTGGATGAAAAAAAAAATCAACTTAAAGTCCAAGTTAGTTCAATTTCGACATTCTTCAAGATTCTCTCCAAACCAAACTAACCATAGACAGAATTTAAAATAAACACATACCAGGGTTTTCATGGGCAAAGACATCCCAATTGTTCAGACCTTTTCCATCGTTTAAGAAGGCACCTTCATACTAAATATGTCAAATAAAAAACAAAAACAAAAATTATAAATTGACTCCAAAATCTGATTACATGCAGAAATATAAAAAGAAAGAAAGAAACAAAAAAAAAGGTACCTGGAAAGCAGAAGAAGCTGTGCCAAAGAAGAAATCAGAAGGAAATAGAGATGAATCATCTGAAGTTTGATGAAGACATGAACTGTAAAGAGGAAACAATAAGCTTTGTAATAAAAACGGAATTGCAAAGTTGGCAAAACTTTTCATCTTTTTTTTTCTCGTGTATGTCTTCTGTGGTTTTGGTGTGTGCTCTTATCTATACGTGTCTATATTTATATGAAAATTTCAGAATATTTTAAATGCATTATTGAGATTTTGGGGGCAGTCTTGTCTACTATTTTAAAATTCCCCAATTTCTACCTACTGAATATAGACAAAGCATACCAAATTTTTACATATATATTATAACCAAAAAGCATCTGCACATGCATTATCATAAAGTTTATAAGAAAATCATTAAAATTTAATATATGAACGTGTGCCTATAACAACTCCATCTAATTTCGTACGTTAATATTTCACTGATTTTACTTTCTAGATATATAACGCTGATTATTATTATATAAAATATAAAAATATGGACGTCAGATAGTAAAAATATATAAATAAAAATATCATGACTATAATTTATAGCGTAATAGTTTGTAATATTGTTGTTACTATGCTTCGGATTCAAAATCCATATATTTCATGTTATTGACCGTGTGAAACATTAATTAATTAATTTACTGATATATAACTCTTTAACGACAAACATGTTCATTAATAAATGTCTTAATTCTTAAATATTACTCGCGTGTCAAATATTTTAATATCCGTCGCCATAATTTACAATTCTATGGCACGAGTCACACGACTAATTTATAACTTTTATCTTTTATTAAACGACTAAAATCCTTTGCAACATACTAAAAAGGCAAGTAAAAAGAAAAAACTTACGGTTTCGTACAAGAAGTTGTAGTGCGGCGGAGAACGTTGACTGGTTTGGTGAAGGGGTTGGTGATCTGGCGGCTGAGGATAGGTCTCGTGACGTGGCTACTCCTAGCTTCATAACTATCGTCGGAAGTTTCGTATCTCAACTTACTTCTTTTGAAGTTTCCAGTCTCTGAAAGAAAATCGCAGAACAAGGTTGCGTACACCATAAGAAATATGAAAAATAGGAAAGAAAAAATGATGATTCTAATAGCAATAGGTTTAAAAAATATCATCTTCTTCTTCTTATTATTCAACTCTATAGCTGTTTTTCTTTTCTTGATTCTAGGTTACTAGTATATCTGTTTTCTTTCCTAGGTCTTTATAATACAGCTGTATGAAGATTAATTCAAAGAAATTGAAGATATCAGCGATGGAGACCATATACGATTAACTCAACCACGCAAGGTTTTGAAATTTTTAATTCTCGATTAACAATATTGCAAAGAAACATATATTTTTATTTTTAGATTAATAAACCTGATTTGTCATGACTAAGTGCGCGTTATACAGTTTATATGGCAACGAAGTTGACTTCTATACACCTAGAAACGATCTTGTCGTGAAAAGACCAAAGGAATTCATCAACCACGCAACCATTTATATATGTAATTGTTGATTCCGACCCATTTTGCTTATATGTAATTGTTGATTCCGACCCATTTTGCTTATATGTTATTTATGTTATCATCATTTGTTCGTGTGTCTTTTTCTTTAGATTGTTTAATGGCTCATTGTGTATTTGATTAAATTGATAGTCTATATGTAATTGACTAACTGTAAGCAATAACTCACAGTTAGACATTACGTAGATGATTTATTTTTCAGAATAGAAATGTTCAAAACTTTTCTATTCAACCAATAAAAGTGTATGGGTAGTTTTGTAAATTAAATAGAAATGTCGTGACTCATACTTGAAACATGAGTATTTCGCATAACAATATTGAAGGAAAATTGCCAACAGAAAAATTTTCGGTGTGTTTTACCAAAAACTTATCTTACATAATTTGAAGCGAATTAAAATCTTAACATATATCAACGTTAAACCGTAGACAAAAAAAAAAACACAGATCGTTTTATCACTAGGTATTTTTTCTTTCATTTTGTCATTTATCAGTTAGTTTAGTGATTTTATTTTATATTTTTAATATTTTTTTATCTAAAAATTAAGAAGAATCTAGCTGAACAGTAAAACAGTGATGCATGTCGCGTCTAGAATTCACACTTTTTTCTTGATTGCGCATTTTAGTATGAACAACATGATCTCCAAAATTAAATTTGGAGGTGATGTCAAATGCTTTATATTGTGATTTTTAATCTAAAACAGTTTTGTTTAGTTTTGTACTACTTTTGATTTAAAACTGTTATCTTAGAGAAGTTTTTGTTTCAGTTTTCGTTGACAACGTGTTGATTTTTTTGTTTTTTTTGATAAAGTAAACGTGTTGAATTATTACTGGGCAAGATTAGACAATTAGTCCCGTAACACATTAAACATTCACTTTAAGCTAAAGAAACATTAGTCATTCATTCAACAATAATGATAAGTTTTGAATTCTTCTAGTTTGACTTTATTTGTTTAAGAATACACATAAGTTTTCTTCCTTTGACCCAAAAAAAAAAAAAAAACCTAAGGTCTCTTCTATTCACGCGTTCTTCAACAGTTAAGCTAATAAAATTATTGTGCAAGATTAGACGAATAATCATGTAAGTATGTAACACATTAAACTTTTAGGAGAAAAAAGACAAATTTAATCATTCAACAATGATAAGTTTAAATCTTAAAATGCTTTTTGTAGTTTGACTTTTTTTTGCAGTGAATACGAATTAAAAACTTAATGTATTTATTGATTATCTACGACTACGAGATCTCTTCGATTCACGTGTCCTTCGATAAAGTTTTTGTACCATGAAGCTGATTGTTTCGGTGTTCTTTTAAGTGTTGTCAGATCCACATGGAATAGACCAAACCGAACCTTGTATCCGAACAACCACTCAAAATTGTCTAATAGTGACCACACAAAATAACCCTTCACATTTGCTCCATCCCTACCAAAACAAAATTCACAACTTATATAGAATTAGTAAATTGACAGTAGATAAAATGATCAAAATATAACTAAGAAATGAATTTCTCCACAAATTTACGTAAATTCTTTACCTCATTGCTGCTTGTAGAGCTTCTAAGTATCCACTCATGTATTGAATCCTTTTTGTATCATGTAGAAGTTCTTTATCTGTTGTTTCAGGTTTTTGCAAGTCTCCAAAACCTTCAAGTTAATAATAATTGTTGATGATGATTTCAAATATATATGGATCAGGAACTCGATATCATTGGTTAAATTTGAGGTCTTGTACCGTTTTCGGTTATGAAAATCCGTATGTTTGGGTACCTATCTTTTAAATAATTCAGCATCTTGTGAAATCCTTCTAGATCAATATGCTGCCAATCTACATCGGTCTATCATACAAAAAAAGATGGTCACTGATGGAAACAATAAATGCATTAAAAGTTTAAAACATTAGAATATAATCGCAAATATAAAAAGAGAACCTATGAATGAATGTACTTACAAGTTCTCCAATAGAAACATTGCCTTTACGGTCTAATTTATGGGCAAATCCTTCGGCCTTAAAAGCTCCATGTCCGGTATTACAAGCAGAGGTCAAACAATCTTGAATGAAGTAACTTGTATAGTGATTAATACCGATGAAATCTGCTCTCGAGTTCTCTAAGTTCTTCACTTCATTGCTCGAAAATTGCGGCAAGGCTGGTCCAAGAATATTTACCATTTCTTTTGGGTATTTCCCATATATAACGGGATCGAGAATCCTAGTATGTTAGAATACAAAGAGATAAGACAGTAGGGACTTCGGGCTTGAACTTCGGACTTGCCCATTGGGAGGGATCTCTTCTCCAAAAGAGATGAATTTAACCTGGTGTGGATCCCGCCTCTGGAAAATGTAGGGCTTTCGGGCTTGAACTTCCAGATATTCAAAAAAGAATGAAAAATAAAAAAGAGATAAGACAGTAAATATTACATATGTGGGTGAACTATACTTCATATCTAGAATAATATGGTTTCATATATAGTAATATAACATACCAATTAGAGTAAAATGATTGAGCTCTCTCAGCAGCTTCTTTATCCGCATTGGATTCACTAATGGGTTCAAACCATGATGTTTGTACCACAATGCCAATGCTTCCCTTTTGTTCTTTCTACAAAAACATTATATTTATATCGATAATTCACGAAAATCAGTTTTATGTATTCCGCTTTATTACCTGATATTTGGTCTGGTATATGTTAACCGCTTTTGCGTGTGCAAGGATCATGTTATGCGTGGCTATGAAAGGTTCGGTTTCGGAATTTCCCTGGCTACAGTTCCCGTATGGCGAGGAACAACGAGACGGTGGAAATTTACCTGTTAGATAGCCTAAGATTAATTGTTGATTTGGTTCGTTAAGCGTGGTCCAGTATTTAACTCGGTTTCCAAAATGCTTGAAACATATATTGGCTAAATAACCAATTCATTCCTATCAAAATAACAAAAAAAAAAAAAAAAAAGTAGTGTTCATAATTAAGATCATTTCCATTGCAAGAAAATAGGGTTAATTAATTGGTAATTCTGTTTAACCACTCACTGCATCTCGGGGTTTAACCAACTTTGAAACCGGTTCTCGAGTATTTGAGGATAGACTACATGGTTCAACGTCACAAATGGTTTAATCCCTGGATAGTGTTAAATTGATACAGTTATGTATTTTCATTAACTTTATGAGATTACAATCTATATATATAATGAGAGAGTTTTCTCTCCATCTAGAGTGTCCACATAGGCGACACATCAGTGCACACGTCATCATACATTTTTAATAGGTATAAAATGTTACCAAAAAGATTCGAACCCCTTACCCAATACATTTAATAGGTGCATTTCAAACCAAATTGCCATTTAAATCGTTTTGATTGATATCAAAATTTAAATTATATATATGACTTTATAAAACTTTTACTCAATTTATTTATTAAACGAAGAAACATTAAAAAAAAATTCACATACTTTTATATTATCATCTTTTAATAAAAGAAAATATTTTTTCATAAACAATAACATTGTTTAATACAAAGTAATATAATATAACACACAAAAATATGTGAATAGAAGTTAATATACAAATAGATAATTCAAAAATAGAAGTTAATGAATTAATAAAACACAGCACAAAAATATATAAGATAAAAATATGAATAAAAATTAGAAGCATATAGATAATTTTCAAATACATATAATTTATATATGAGAAGTAGAAAACAAAAAAATATGTTATCACGCTAGAAAGACATTAACCTTTTCAAGAGTTATAAATATTTAGATTAAAAAAAGTTTATATGATAGTAAACTATAGAATTTAGATTACACGAAATAAGAATATCTATTTTTCAAGAAAAAAGTATGTATCCAAAATCAAGATAAAATATATATAAAATTGTATAATATATTTAAGGAAAGAATTTTGATTTAAAAGTACAATTAGATACAAGATTAATTTAAACAATAACGTTAGAGTGCAATGTTTCATGGAAAATGCAATGTATGAGAATAGGAAGAATACAAATATAAAATTTAATATGTAGGAAAAAGAACATTTTATAATAGACAAGAAAAAATAAAATATAAAAATGAAATAGATAAAGAGAATATAATTTTAATATAAGTTTATAATGAATAAAAAATTTAATCAATTATTTTAACGAAAAGAACGTGAAAAGAGATAAAATGTCGCGAGGTGGACGACTGCATATTAGAATATGACGAATAAAATGACAGCGAAATACTTTCAAGAGAAATTGACTAAATTCAAAAAGATGTATGAACATGACATGGTCGAGATTGTATATTTCTCTGAATTTTTTCAACTAATTTTTTACCACGTGTTACCTAAAAATTTGTTGTTTTTTTTAAGAGAAACATTATTCTCAATAAAATCTATGTTATATATCATTTCATAAATAGGTTTATGTCATTATAGATTTATCTTTTAAAATTGAATATATATATATATATATATATATATTTATATTCACGGCTTATATTGTTAATAGTTTATAAGTAAAATCCCGCGCATTGGGATTAGAGAGTCTTCTCTCCATCTAGGGTGTCCACCTAAGCATCCACCTAAGCAATAATATTTATTTTACATTAAAATCAATTTAAAACATCCATTTAATGCATTTACTTGTAATTAATAGAAATAATAAATTTTAAATAAATAAAAAACGAATTATGTAAAATAGTAAAATAATACTATTAAAATTTTATAAGTAAGACTAATATAATTCAACTTTTAAATGATAAAAATTAAATATGGTCAGTATTCAAAATTTTAAATGTGTTAATGAGTTTTAGGATGGAAGTAAATTTATGTAATTCTATATGTAAAACTTTAAACAAGAAAATAAAATTTAAAGTAAAATATTAGTTTCAAAGAACAATATACTACATATTTTTAGTTATTATTAAATTTTTACTTAAAGAAAAATAAAAAATTACTAAACTCAACTTAAATTTATAATTTAAGAAGAAAATATTGTAAGATGCAAACTTTATCTTGTGAAATTATAAAAAAAAATCTTGAAAATTTTAAAACCTTATCATCCATCTTTTAAAAAATAAATAATCAGTGATCACAGTATTCATGAGTTTTACAATAAAATATATTAAAAATAAATGTAAGCCATTAAAAAAAAGTGATATGTAATTTGTGTAGCATATTCTCAAGTGGAAGTACAACTTTATAACAGAACAAAAAAAACTAAGTTTGATATTTCATTAATGAAATATTAAAAAGATAGTTATGATATGTCTTGAAAATCAATTCACAGTCCAATATATATTATGTGTGAGTCAATAGAAGGTAAAAAGAACGTAGATGTCGAGAGGCAACGATTGCATCATAGAAGATGACGAAAGAACTGGTAGTTAAAAGAGTTTGAAAATAAATTTCTAAAACTTTAGAAAGATAATGCACATGACTAATGTATCTTTGAGATCTCATTCATTGTGTGAAACGAATGAGTTCTTAGAAAATACATGACATACATTATTAAACAAATTATTAGATTCAAAGTTGGGTTTAACCGTTTGGCCATGTAATCATGGAAAGTAAAATAAGATAGGCACATTGATGACTTAGTCGGAAATTCTCTTATTGTTGCACTAGCTTTGATGGGTAAATCAAACTCGCTAAACTGGTTCTAGCAACATGGTATTATAGATGTACTTTTACACTAAATAATGTTCATGAAACTCGGTAAATTCACATTTTATATGGAATGATTTTATGTTCGTATCAACATTTAATCATAAATAATATCTACAATTAGATCAACAGTCGATAATTAATATCAAAACTTTTAGAAATACCTTCATGGAATATGAATAAGAAATAAACTCTTTGAGAGTGTTGATACCGTTTATTATTTGTGGGATTATCTTAAGTGATCTTTGTTACCACGTAATATATATCAAATTATTTATTTGTCAAAGAAATATTATCGTCGATAATATATATGTTATATATCGCTGCGTAAAATAAGTTTAGTGTTTAAAATTTGAATTATTATATTTATGCTCAAAAAATTATCTTTTAAATTTAATTGATTATATTTTATGCTCAAATTTTATATCAATAGAAAAGATTTTAAAATTAAAATCCCGCGCAACGCGCGGGTACAAAATCTAGTTTATATATAATAGCAATCTAATAAATATCATTTGCACATCTGAACAGTTGCGTCTTTTTATCGCAACCTTTCGTTTAAATCTGTTTTTTTTTTACGGTTATGTCTTTTTATTGAATTTTCTTTTTGAATTTTCGTTGAATTATTTACGGTTATATTTGTTCAATTACAGTTGTATCTTTTCAGTTTGCATTTATATCTTTATAGTTGCATTTATTTATTTAAAGTTACGTCTTTCCATTATATAATTTCATTGCATTTTTTGTATAGTTAGTAATACTACGAAGTTTTTTGACATCAACCATTAGACTACATATCAAATTGGTTTTATTAACCAAAATAACAACCTCAATAAATGCATTTTGCACTTTGGGAACGGTTGTGTCTTTTTACCGTAACTTTCCGTTAAAATATTAACGGTTATTTTTTCGGGTGTGTTTTTTATCGTAACTTTTCTTTAAAATATTGACGTTTTTTTCAGTTGTGTCTTTTCATTGCAACTTCCCGTTAAAATATTGGTTGTTACTTTATTCGTTTCTGTCTTTTTATCGCAGTTTTCCATTAAAATATTGACGGTTATTTTTTCTCGGTTGTGTCTTTTTATCGCAATTTTCCGTTAAAATGTTGACGGTTATTTTTTCTCCGTTGTGTCTTTTTATCGCAACTCTTCGTTAAAATATTGATGGTTAATTTTTTAGTTGACGGTTATTTTTTGGTTGTGTCTTTTTCTCGCAACTTTTCGTTAAAATATTAATGGTTATTTTTTTCGTTGACGGTTATTTTTTTTGTTGTGTTTTTTTTCTCGCAAATTTCCGTTAAAATATTGACGGTTACTTTTTCGTTTCTGTTTTTATCATAACTTTTTGTTAAAATATTGACGATATTTTTTTCTCGATTGTGTCTTTTTTGTCTGTTAAAATATTGACGGTTATTTTTTTCTCGATTGTGTCTTTTTATCGCAATTTTTTGCTAAAATATTGACAGTTATTTTTTTTCAGTTGTATTTTTTTTTTGCAACTCTTCGTTAAAATATTGACGGTTACTTTTTTCGTTGGCAGTTATTTTTTTGGTTGTGTCTTTTTATCGTAACTTTCCGATAAAATATTGACGGTCATTTTTTTTGTTTGTGTCTTTCTATCACAACTTTCCGTTAAAAGTTTGACGGTTATTT